TTCACCAAACGCGAGGTCGTTCGTGACACATGCAAGGGCACACGTCTGTGTCTCACGAAAATCAGCGAACTCCATCAACGAACTGACGAATAGAGGCACGGAAGCGTAACGGTGACGAATATAGATCGCAAATGGGTGATGGAATACGCCGGAAGGGTCAGGCGAAATCTGCAGCGCAGCTGCTCCTCTACCCCCCCCCAAGAAAAAACGGCTCCCAACGATCGAGGTAAAATACCAAGAAACCCAACGCTCCAAGGTACTCGAACGTAGATCGCACTACTACTTAAAAGGCCCGGAACTTAGCTTCGAAGATGCGGCGACAAAAACTCCAAATTGTAAAACTCCCAATCTGCTCTAACGTTGAAATTCCTCGGCAGGGTAAACCTCTCCGAGGGTCTTGAAATTCATAAGTAGCTGCTCCGAAAAACTCCCATACGAACTTCAAAACTTTTCACAATTCGAGCACTGCTTGTGAGCTGGTCCCAACACAGCTCCAACAGAGCTGCTGCCAAATCTTCTCTGTTTCGATATTGCTGCTGTCGATTCGGATGGCAAGGCGAGGTCGAGTTCACACGGTCAGGCAAAGTCAGACGAAATGAGGACGGAGATGGTAGCGGGTGGTGGCGAAAGGATGTTGACAATGGCGATGGAAAGTAACCTCCTAAACCAGTCTTGTGAAAAACCTCGAACAGAACCCAGGGTCAAATGCCGCCAACTACATCAGCTACTTTGTCCGTACTCACCAAAATATTTGGGAAAAGCCCAAAACTAGGGAAAGTGGCTCAATCGTAGGAAGGTTTGTCCCGCTACCCTATTTAGGTTGGATTGACCCAGGAATGAAATATTCCGACGAAACACAATTTCGCCCAACAAATGTTACCCACGTAACCAAGTTTCGGCGCCCCAGGTTGGTTTGCGATGTTCAGGCAGGTGGACACCTGGCGAATTTTAGGCTCCAGTTTGTGTTTGCGAGACACACTTGCCAGGCCTGCGAATTTCGCCGCTCAAATTTTGTCGCTGATTCCTTCGGCCTCCAGGGCCTACCTTGTCCTCCAATCACAACGCACACCCTCGAGCAACTTTCCTACCGATGAAACTCTTGGTACGGTGGTTTTAAACACGTGAAAGTCAGGGGTACCTGAGTATTTTACGAATTTGGGTTGTGAGAAGACCGATACGTATGATGCTCGCCAGCCATGATCAACGGCCGAAGACCCATGCCCGGGCGGTGAACGGCGAGTACCCTACATTAAAGAGTTCATGCGTACAGCCGGTGACGGACCAATGGGGGTGCAGCTAAAGGACGACGCGTTAGTGTTCTACGAGTAGCTGTGAAGCACGTGCACATGTGCAGCGGATTTGCGGTATTTGTTAAGTCACGGTTGAATTTCCGACATTTTCACTGGGCAACATGAGGAACAGTTCTAAGTTTTACACCTGGAGTGGTACCCTCTATCTTCAGCGGTACGACCAATATCGATCGACGTTTGCAGAAACTTTAGTTGCAAAGAGGGGAAGGAGAGCAGCAGCTGTTTCGTCTCTTCTCAAATATTTCGGCTTGTACGGACAAAGTTTCTGATGCAGCTGGCGGCATTTGACCCTGAGTTCGCTTCGAGGTTTTCTACAGGAGTGGTGGGTAGGGGTTATTTTTCATCACCATTGTCGTCAGCCTCTTGCCACAACCCGCTACCGCCTCCATCGTCATTTCGCTTGACCTTGTAAACACAACCCAATTCGGTATCCGACAATCGACAGCAGCAGTATCAAAGCGAGAAGATTTGGCAATAGTACTGTTGGGACCAGCTTGCACGCAGTATTTTACTCGTGAAGATTTTCAAGTTCGTATGGGAGACTTATGGCGCAATTGTTGCTGCATTTACGGGCACTTGAAGCGGTTGTCCTTGCAAAAGGGTTTCAACTTCCAAGAAGTTTGGGAATTTTACTAGTTAGAATTTTGCAGCGGCCACTTCGAAACGGAGTTGGGAGTTTTACGCAGCAGGTGGGGTGTTTTTCGAACACCTTGAAGCAGTGGGTTTCCTGGAGTCTTACCTGAGCTATTGGGAGCTGTTTCTTCTTGGAGGGGGGGAGAAGGGCAGCTGCGCTGCAGATTTCGTCTGACCCGTCCAGCTTGTTCCATCATCCGTCTTCGACCGAAGTTCATTTTCGTTATGCGTCCGCGCATCTGTTCGTCAGTTCGTTGATGGAGTTCGCAGATTTTTGTGAGACAATGACGTATGCCCTCGCACGTGTCACAAACGACCTCGCGTTTGGTGAATGGGTTCTTCATTTCATCGGCCACGTCATTCGGCAATCATCATTTCAATATATTCAGCTGCCACGCGCCATCATCAATTGACCACTCGACAATTTTCACTGCTCGCAGGCTTCCGCTAGAGTATTCACCCTTGCCCGATCGGCCAGCTGGAGAATTCGACCGTCTTCTACGGTCGAGATTAAAAAGCGATCGTTTCGACGCTTTCTGACCGTCGATCTCAGTTCGACTTGAAGACCTTGTCAGGACGGCGTAATCATTACATTCGTCACTGTACTGAAGACCTACGGTCACATCGGGGATTATTTTTTATGACAATTCGGCCTTCGTTATACGGAGGGCCTTCTTTAGAAGGTGGGAGGATGTAAGGGTTTCACAAATCGTTACTGGGTTTGGCCACAGCGAGTACCGCGAACAGTGCGCGTCTGCAGCCTCGGCCCTCAAGTCTTGCATCAAACCACCCCCACTGACATATTCGGCCCCGATCATGTTACCGAGGCGCCTCGTGTTAAATTATATCTGATATATAATTGTAGGCTTGGTAGGTGTTACTGGAACCTACTGTAGAGGGTACAACTCCCTCCTTGTACCCCTCTCTCTTTTAATCTCATTCCCATCTCTCTCGATATTTTTCCTAACCTAAACCTCTCGCCATTCATGGCTTCCTCTTCCTACCTAGCTTAGTTTAACATGGTACCAAAGCAGGTTGCCCCTCCCGGGCCTGCTCCCCACGCTTCTGCCGCGTACTCACCCTTTCTCTCTCGCGTTGCCATGGCGGCTGCGTCGTGCTGCCGTGGCGACGTGCTGCCAGCACGCGTACGGCACGTTCGGCAGCGGCCAGCGCCCCGTCTTAGCGCTGGCCAGCACGCCCGCATGCAGCCAGTGCGCCACACGAGGCGGCACGCTCCCGGGCTCCCTTCCCCTACGTCCCCTCTTCCTCGCCGCAGCCGACGGCTGACTCGCGCCGGCCGTCCCACCGTCGCAAAGGCCGGCCACGCCGCCGAGTGTTGCGAGCTCCGCCGCCGTCGGCAGCTGTCGTCGAACCCGTCGCTGCCGCAGCTGGTGCCACTGGCCACGCCGCCGCCGCTGTCGACGCTGCCGCCGTTGCAGCCGCTGCCCTCTTTGTCTCCGTCGCCCCGGCTCACGCACCGTGTGGTTGACCATGCGGGAGTAGCCGTCGCTGCTGCTGAGTATGGGGGTGCTAGGGGGTGTGTGGCTTAGTGTGCTGTGTGTGTGGTGTGCTTTCGGCTACCAAGTCTAGAGGGTGTGTTAAATGATATCTTATATATAATTGTAGGCTTGGTAGGTGTTACTGGAACCTACTGTAGAGGGTACAACTCCCTCCTTGTATCCCTCTCTCTTCTAATCTCATTCCCTTCTCTCTATATATTTTTCCTAGCCTAAAACTCTCGCCATTCATGACTTCCTCTTCCTACCTAGCTTAGTTTAACACCTCGAACCCAATTTGACCCCGTCACCCTCGGGACTATTGAGCCCTTGACAGGTCCAACTCTCGAGTTTCAATCTGGTCAACTAGCACTATATGAGCCCTAGGTCTTTCACAGTAAGGAACATTCTGTAGTCACTCTCCCTTGTAGTGTTCTGCTCTATACTCTATGCTATATTTCATAACACCGAGCATCATCAGTTTTGCTAGAGTCTGTCCACTCCTGTCTCGTGTTTGTACCATTTGACTGTACTATGACGTTCTACTTGAAGGTTGGTACTACAGCGAGGGGCTTTTTGGCCATCAGCTTTTCCCAACGGCGGGCCAGCTTTTCGGGGTTCATCACAAATATCAGCCCCAAAAAGAAGAAGCTGACCCAGTCAGCTTGAGGGTCCAATCAGCAGGGGCTGAGCTGGCGATGCCTGGGGATCTCTCAGCCTCCGACCAGAAAGAGTGAGGCGGATGGCCTAGGGTGGAGGCTTCCAAGAAGCGAGACAGGCTCGATGTGCATTTTTCCACCTCGAAATCCACGCAAACCACAATCAGCTGTCTTTCGCCACCCACGCAATCTGCCTCTCTAGATTTCGCAAACAGTTCGCTCAATTTTCGCATAATACGGTAGCTCCACGGCTGAAAACACTTCCAGGAGACAGAACTGTTCCCAAGGAACCAGACTGAGCGCGCGAAACCGACTACACTTAAATCCACCAATCAGAGAGCCATGCCAGCTCCCCCCAAACTAGCCCCACAGAAGCCTCGCGCGGCTTACACTTGCGGGAAGCTTGCGGAGGTTGCGTGAGATCTGGGCCAATCCCCACCACGCAGAACGTACCCCCCCGAAACAACCCCCGCTTTCCTCACCTTTCCGCGAGGCAGGAAGGGGCGAGCCTCTCCTCCCACTAAGGTTTCGCCACGCTGTGGCCACTGACAGGAAGATCTAGGTGGCTCCAGCCTCCGCTCTGCTCCTCTACAGTGATTCTCAACATTTACTGTACCCCTCCCCTCCCCCACCTTGTCCCAGAGCCCATCCACTTTCTCGCGCCACGATTGCTTCTCCTTTCCAGAGAGTTGGTGGGGGGGGGAAGGGAAGGGTGGGGGAGAGGAGGGGGATGAGGGGGTGATAATCACACGAGTTTCAACCTGAAGAGGAATCTCGGGTCTCCTGGAGGGCGGTGGGTTTGGAGGAAATGTTGGGGAAGGATGGGGGGAGGGGTGAAGGGGGAAGATTGCGAAATCGTCTCTGCTTCTTTTGGCTGCTCTAGGCTGAGGAGGAACTTTGGGGGACAAGTTGAGTGGAGCAGGGAAGCGGAGAAGCGAAGGGGGAGGAGTTGGGTGACGGCTCAAACCCAGAGCTACTGCTCTAAGCACAGCTTGCAGGTGTCGAATTCGAATAGAGAGAACCTGGACTCCCAAGTCGCACGTGCTCTTCCTGAGCGCACCCCCCATTCGTCGGCTGCGAGCCGCTCGATGGTTAATTCTCACGCCACTTCTTGGCTTAAGTCATCGGAATTCAGAACCTGCAAGACGTGAACAGGACCGCAGCATTCGTCACGAGCGACCATGGCTGGTCTCGTTGCTCCCAGTTCCTCCGTTAGTCCCGCGACGATCATTCAGAAGGACAAACAGGGGTCGCCTCCTAGCAAGTTTTCGCAGCCTCCCCTCGTGGAAGTGTCTGAACTGGTAATTAACTACCGCCTTTTTTTTCTACATTCATGCCACTCGCGCCGCGCGGTTTTGAGGTTAGAGTAGTTACTCTTAATCGTTATTTGGTTCCTATGCCGCGATTCTAACTCCCTACGTGCGTCAATGGATCCCGCTGCTGTTTCTTGTTTCAGACCGTGGAGCTCGAGGCATGGGAAGTCGATCTGTTCGCACTGCCCGGTGACGAAATCGGCGAGATTGGCGAAATTGGCGAGAGTGTCGCGCCGACTGCCGCTCCGATGGATGCTCTTGAACCTCTCGCAATCGCCGTGGAATTCGGCGGTTCGTTGAACCAAGACGGTCTCGACACGCCGTGCTCGCCAATGGCCGCCTCGCCGTTTCTCTCGGCGAGCGAGGGGTTTCTGGACGGCCTCACGCCGCTGAGTGCCTTCCACGAGAGCGACGAAGGGCCTCTCGCCGTTCCCGTGAGTGGGTTGAGGGGAGGGTTTTGCCTGTCGTCTGTTCTTCGTGTGCAAGAACCTTCACGAGGAGATATCCCCCTTTCGTAGACGTCGTAGGTGCCAGTTTCCGGTCTTCCTGTCGCTTCTTTCTCCTGTTTCCCCTGTCGCCTATCCTCAGAATTTCACTCTTTCCCTCTGCCCCTTTTCTCCGTGTCTCTTGCGTTCGTTTCTCGACTGATTCCCATTCTTGCGTGCAGAGCGACGATCTTGACGAGCTCGACGCGATTCTCTTCCCGTCCCTCCCCACCATCAACAGCATCACCAGCAGCAGCCCCGCCGTTCTGCCCCCGCCGCAGCAGTGCCATCCCTTCCACCACCGCCAGCACCAGCACCAGCGTTACAAGCACAAGCACAAGTACAAGAAGCACCCCGGAAAGAATCGTGAGGCCTCGATTTTCCGGCGCAACAGCGGGGCTGCGCACCGAGCCTTGGATCGCCTGCTGGCGGACGGCGGGATTGCCGGCAAGCGGGCTCGCAGCGCTCGCGGGAGCATCCGCGGCAGCATCAGCAAGTGCAGCAGTGGGGAGAAGAACGAGAGCGAGGTGGGGGCTTTGCCGCTGGAGTTTGGCGAGAAACGTGGAAGTGACGAGACGCGGAATTTGGATCGACTGGAACTGGTGGAGTCGACTCTTAGGCCGTTGGTTGAGCGCAAGGGCGACCAGATAAACGCGAGCAACGCTGCGGATGCCGCGAACGCCGCGAACGGTACTACCGTGGACGGGGAAAGCAGCGGTGGAGCCGGCAGCGCTGAAGACCTCTCAAGACGACACCCCAGCGACGGCAGCGCGATTGTCTCGCCAAACGACCGGAGCGCTGATAGTCCAAGTGCTGAAGGCGTTAACCACGGAAGCAGGAGTGAGGAGAGCAAGGGGAGTAACAAGCGGCCGTGGTCCTCCCCGCTCGTTGCGTACCTCCTCTCCCCGCCCTCTCCTCGCTCAGCCAAGCGCCGTGCCATGCCGCTCACGCCCGCGCCGTCGCCAATTTCGCTGGGGAATTCGCCCAGCGGTTTCTTGTCGCGAGGGCTGGAAGAGGACCTTCTGGAGCTGCCTGCCGCCCTACGCGCGGTTGCAGACACGGCCGACGCATCAAAGACACCTCTTACTCCGGATCATGCCGCGATTATTCCTTCTCCCTCGTTCGCAAGTCCTGCTACAACCGTGTACCGTCCTGCCATAGCCATCTCGCCTTCCTCTGCTGATGCCGCCGCCACCTCATCCTCTCCTGACACCACTGCCGCTGCTGCTTCCGCTGCTGCTGCTGCTGCTGCTGCCGCCTTCGCCTCGCGGCGCTGCTCGCACTGCTCCACGACCACCACGCCGCAGTGGCGAACGGGCCCTCTGGGCCCCAAAACCCTGTGCAACGCGTGCGGCGTGCGGTTCAAGTCCGGCCGCCTGTGCCCCGAGTACCGCCCCGCCAACAGCCCTGGCTTCTCGCCCAAGCTGCACTCCAACCTGCACCGGAAAATCGTCCAGATGCGCGAGAAGGGAGGGGGTGGAGGGGGTGAGAGAGGGGGTAGGACTGCCGAGTCTGTGAAAGGGATGGAGGTTCAGGGTTTAAGAAAGATGAGGAAAGTGAAGGAGTGTGGAGAGGGACGGAGGGAGGAGGGAAGGCAAGGGAGAGGCGGAAACACGGGTGTAGCAGCTGGAGACGGTTCTGCTGTCGTTGAAGGGGTGGGATCTGCTGTGAGGGCTGTGCAAGAGAGGGGGCAAGGGAGGGTGCAGGAGAGGTGGGATGAGAAGGTGGTCGTTGCACTGAGCCCTTTGAGTGGCGGTGGAAAGAAGCACCGGAAGAGTGACATTGTTGCTGCTCGACGAGCGGACGCCCAGGCTGCAGTCACACGTGTCCTTCAGTCCACTCAAGGGGTTGTCGAGTTGCTGCAAGGTGCTGCTGAGGGCGCTGCTGAGGGTGCTGCTGAGGGTGCTGTTGAGGGTGCTGCTGAGGGCGCTGCTGCACAGATTGCCGGCAACTGTGAGGAATATGAGACAGCGGAGAGCATGAGGCCAGCACGTGTCGTGGTTCAGGGTGAAGCGCCCGTGGTGCAAGGAGAGCACGCAGAGACTGGTGCAGAAGGTGAGAGTAAAGTGGAGGAGATGGTTGGGCCAAGTAAACCACACCGAGTTGGCCTGGAGGACAACAAGATCGAAGCTGATAAGAATGGGGGCAGTGGCGTTGGATGTGGCGACTCTGGAGACGTCAAGGTTGAGAAGGCAGATGGAGGTGCGGAGGGAAGTGCGGGAGGCAGCAGTGCTGCAGTCTGGGATGTTCCGTGCGCAACAGCTGCGGCTACAGACTTGCCAGTCTTCTCTTCGAAGGCGAAAACGGTGCCTCATGGCGCTTGTGACGAAGGGACCACGGGCAACGTGCGTGGGGGTGCTCCTGGTGGCGCTGCCATGGCTACTGCTGCAAGTGCCAGTGCAGCCATTGTGACCCTCCAGAGGAGCTGCTCCAGTGGAGCTCATCTAACAAGCAATTTCGTTGCTGCTTCAGCTTGAGAATTTTGGCTGTTACCTCTGCCGGTGGCTTCAGCAAGCGCCAGTGCAGCCATTGCGAATTTGCGACCCTGCAGAGGCGCTGCTGCAGTCGAGCTCATGGCGTTGCTGCTTCAACATGATCGAACCTGACTGCTGGCTATTTGCCATGGCTGCTGCATCTGGTAATGCTGCAGCCATGGCGACTCTCCAGAGGAGCTGAGCTAGTGGAGCTCATTCGACACCTAATCTCGTTGCTGCTTCAGCACCATGGATGCTGCTGTTGTTGTAACATGCACATGGTTTTCACTTTGACTCAATAACATGCAAGTGCTGGTGGTGCAGGCAGCCATTGTTGTGATTCTCCGCTGGAGCTGCTTCAGCGGAGAGCATTTGGCCGATGGCTGTGTTGCTGCTTCAGCTCGACAGGTTCGTCAGGCTGTGCGGGGATATCTTTTGGCCTTCTATCTGCCCATTCTTTTTGGTGTGGTGTGGTGTGGTTTACTGAACATTGTTTTGGCTTTTGCAGAATGAAAATTGTTCTGTGAAGCATCTGTTGTAGGAATGTCCGAATCTAGGTTTTAGAGGGAAGCATTGGAAAAAACTAGAGGTTCGATAGACCAAGTTGCTTCTATAGATGCCATAGTAGTAGTGGAAATATCACATGTTACGTAAGAAAAGAGCTATTCACTACGTTGAGATTCCTTGAGCGTCTATCGCGTATGCCACAGCGCCAATCAGCAGCAGAGTTTTTCGGCCTCTTGCTGTCGGCAACTAAAGCGGCGCCTTAGTCACTAAAAACGGAATCGGTTTGTCTACGGCTTGTATTAGGGGCCCTCCGGCAGCGTGGCGCCGCCCTTCTCCCGGTCTTCTCTCACTTGCGCTGTGCGCGCATGGCGGGGATCAGCTCCCCCGAGGACCGGATGCGCAACCTGGTTGCGCGGGACCCTTCCGCGGCGTTCGTTCCGCCGTCGCTCGCGTCTTCCGCCTCCGCCACCTTGCGCTGCCCGCAATGCGCCGCGCCAATATCCCTCCCTCAACAAACTGTACGCTTCCGAATCCAGTTGTGTTGTACGCCCCCCGGCAGACTGGATAACCGTCTCAAATCTGCTTCTCCTTCTGCGCCCATATCCCTCCCCAAACAAGCCCTACGCTTCCTCCGACTCTAGCGGTTCTGACACTCGGACTCTCAAAACTGCGCCTGCGCCGAGATCCCTCCCCCAACACACAGGACGCTTCCGAATCTTCCGCCTAAGCGGTAGCAGGACTAACTTGAGATAACCTTTCACATGTTTTCCAGATTTTACCCTGCCATTAGGGGGCTTCGGTAGTTGCGGCTGTTAGGGAAGATTTGAACAGGGAAGACGAATCGTTCGTCTCTCGAGCGTTTCGCTCTTGTTTCGAGGTTTGACGACGATGCCTTCGCATTCCTTCGCATTCCTTCGCGTTCCTTCGCCTTCCGTCGCCTCACCCTGTTCTCCCTCCTTTCGCCGTCTCCACCGTCTCCCTCCCCCTTCCGTCCCCCTCTCACCATGCTTCCCCCTTCCTCCCCCCTTCCTCCCCCCTTCCTCCCCCCTTCCTCCCCCCTTCCATTCCGCCTCTCCTCCCCAATCCCACAGTCCCGCGCAGCTCCAGCAAGTGTGGGGAGAGCCAGCGCGGATGGCGCAGCAGCGGGTGCCCCAGGCGATGGGGGAGCTTCCGCGCGGACAGGGGGAGGCGGAGTGGGGGGAGGCGGAGGGATAAGCGGAGGGGGGTGGCGCATGGCGCCTTTCATGCGGGATAGCCTTGCCACGGTGAGATAGGGGGGAAGGGGGGAGAAATAGGGGAGGGTGTGCCCGGTGTGGGTGTGTGGGGGCGAGGGTTGGGGTTGGGAGGGGAGAACCTGCTGTTCACACAAGGAGGAGAGGGATTAGGGCTATGAGGGGAGGGGGGGGGTGCTTGCAGGGGGAACGCGCATGGCGCATGATGCATGGGGCATGATGCATGGGGCATGATGCATGGGGCATGATGCATGGGGCATGATGCATGGGGCATGCTACATGGGGCATGGCATCTTTCATGTTACGCCTCTGTCTCTTGTGCGCATGCCCCCTCACCGTTCCTCATGCATCCTGCATGCCACTGCGTGTTTCCAACCATGGGAGGAACCATGCGTGTTTCCAACCATGGGAGGAACCATGCGTGTTTCCAACCCCTATCAACTCGGCACAGCCATGGGAGGAACCATGCGTGTTTTCATGCGTGTTTCCAACCCCTATCAGCTCGGCACAGCCATGGGAGGAACCATCGCGTCTGTCTATGCATTCAACGCAGGTGACATACCTCCGTTGCTGCCTTATAATGGGAGGTGATAAAGGTGCATTCAAAGACGCGATAGGTAATCAAAGAGGTTGATAAAGGTGCATTCAAAGACGCGATAGGTAATCAAAGAGGTTGATAAAGGTGCATTCAAAGACGCGATAGGTAATCAAAGAGGTTGATAAATGTGCATTCAAAGACGCGATAGGTAATCAAAGAGGTTGATGAAGGTGCATTCAAAGACGCGATAGGTAATCAAAGAGGGGGATAAAGGTGCATTCAACCTCTTTTCCCTCGCTTGCTCTTCCTCCATCCATCCCTCCCACGCTGCCTTTGCCACTTGCCTGTCTTGCTCTCCTGTAGATCTGCTTCTCTTTTTTTTGCGTCCAGTTTCCTCTCCTCCATGCCTCCCTCCCCACTCCAGACCTCCTCTTCTTCTCCTCTCCATGCCTCACTCCCTTTTTTTGCACGCCTCTCTGCCTCGGTTCGTTCTCCTCGTCTTCCTATATTTCCGTGCCTTCCTTCCCAACCTCCTTCTCCCTCCCTCCTTCACCTTTCCTTCCTCCGCTTCCCCCTCCCCCTCCCCCCTCCCCTCCACTCCCCTTCCCTCCCCTACGCCCTCCTTGCAATCAACCAGTGATGTCACGGTTGGGTAACCGCTTCCCAGGATCGAGGTGAATTTCGACTCGACTCAATATGTCCCCCCCAACCCCCCATCACAACCACACCAGTGATGCCGCGGTTGGGCAAGCGCATCCCAGGATCGAGGGGCCTGCAGTTCCTCGTGGGGGTGAGTACAGGGGGGTGAGAGAAAGGGGTGTGATGGGGGGGCGAGTACACGGGGGCGAGAGTAAAGGGGGTGAGAGTAAAGGGGGTGAGAGTAAAGGGGGTGAGAGTAAAGGGGGTGAGAGTAAAGGGGGTGAGAGTAAAGGGGGTGAGAGTAAAGGGGGTGTGAGTAAAGGGGGTGAGACGGGGGGGCGAGAATGGAGGGATGCTGGTGGGGTTCGCTTAGTGGAACGAGAAAGAAAGGGGCGAAAACAGAAGGGAGACAGTAAATGAGAGTGAGAGAGAGGAACGGGGTGTGCAACCTCCAGAACAGAGGGAGGTAACCCAGAGGGAGAGAGTCAAGAGAAAGGCGTCTTGGTGGAAGTGAAAGTTAAGGGGGTTTCTGCGGTTTCGTTATGTTTGAGGAGGGTGGGATGGGAAAGCCGTTGCACGCCATGTGATCTATATTCTGCCTGTGTGAACCCACCCCACCCCCCCTTTCCCCCCCGTTTTAAGAACTTAAGACTAGGTTGGGAAGAGGGGGTTGTAGTTTCCTACAGATGGCGAGGGATAGGGAAGCCTTCGCACTTCTTGTGCTCCCTAGTTGGCCTGTGCTGCCCCTCCTGGCCCCTACTCTCAGCCACCACGTCCCCTGTCCTCCCATTACGTTCCTCCCCATCTCTCTTCCCCTTCTTCCCCCTTCTCATAATGTCGCCCCCTTCTCCCCTCCCCTTTCGTCTCCACCCTTCCTCTCTCTACCTCCTCTCCAGGTCCCGCCAGTGGCAGTGGCTGCAGCGGCAGGGGCAGGCGTGGGAGGTGAGCGACCGATTGGCCCATTTCTAGCTTGCCCTAGTGTATCCTGGTCTATAATCCCCTGCCCTAGTGCAGCGTGGTCTGGTTAATCTTTCCCTAGTGACTTCCTTTCCTCTTCTTCTTTCAAGGCCCTGCTTCCTCTCCCTCCGCCCTCCCTCTGCATGCTGGCAATGGCATGCGATCACCTCACTTGACTCTCGCCTACTCCCCTTTCCATCCTCTTGCCTTCCGGCATGCTTGACAATGCACCCGAGGAAATACCCAACATGAACCGAACCTCTGCACCTCTGCACGTTGGAATGCTTGTCCTGCCCCCCCCCCCCCCCCCCCCCTCCCCCCCTTCTCTCGTCGCTCTCGCAGCTGGTACCCTCCCGTCCCTTATCCAGCTCTGCATGTCGGCATACTGTGTCATGTCTGCCACCACACACGCCGCCGTTTCCAAGGGGACACAGCAGCCAAGAGGAAACTGACCTCCAATTTTAGTCTTCAATCTCCCCGCCCCCCACCCTCCTCCACTCTCTCTCTTGCAGCCGGCATCCTTCCTTCCCTCGTTCAGCTCTGCATGTCGGCATACTATGTCACATCCGCCACCACACATGCTGCTGTTAGTGCGGCAGAGGGCAGGCTTATTACCAGCGCCGATGGGGCTGCTGCTGCTGCTGCGACGAGAGAAGAGGTGCGTGCTGCCAGTTGGAGTAAAGGCACTGACAGGTGTGTCATCGTGTCGTCGTGCCCTGATGCCCACCACTCGACCATCATGGCACCGATGCCGTCTTATTCAATCATATATTTGCTTTTCTCTCTACCTCCCTCACTCTCATCCAAAGCAGTCTGATGTCGCCAAATGATTCCTTCACCCCTAGCACTCTCGTTCACTGTCACAAGCGCCCCCGGCACCACTGTGAGTGCGTCTAGCCCTGCTCTATTCCTTGCATGAGGCTCGGCTCGTGCTGAATGGCACTCAGCCGTATAATCAAACAAACGCACCGCACAGTACCATGCCAGTCTGCTTCGACGCGTGGGCTTGCATTACTTGACCACTGGGTTCGCGTGTTGCTTTTCTGGCGCGGTGACCGCTACAGATGTGTTTTCTCTGCAAGCACTCCCCCCCACCTCTCCTCTCTACACTCCCCGCTCCCCGCTCCCTGTGTGTGTCCTGTGTGTCTGTATGTGTGTGTGTGTGTGTGTGTGTGTGTGTGTGTGTGTGTGGATGTGTCTGTGTGCTTTTCACATGTGTGCATGTGATGTGAGCATGTGCATGTGCATGTGTGAGCTTGTACTCCCCGTGTGAGCCTTGCATGCGCTTGTCTCCAAGCGGCGTCTTCCATCGCTCACTCCTCTGCTCCTCATATCACTTTGTTGTCAACCAATCCATGTATCTTACCAGCCCCTTTTAAAGGCTCTCTAGTGCTCGCTTAACTGCTACCGTGACTGTACCGTGGGCATCCACATTAATTGACTGAAGGAACATCGAGTACTCTTGGTGCCTCTCAAATCTTGCTGAAGCTGTTGTGCCTTTCACACTAGTTGACTGAAGAACTATCGTGTACAGTTCCTTTCCATGCTAAAAGCTGCTGGTGTTTGTTGTTGAACTGGTAATTAGTTTTCCCCTGGATACTAACTGCAGTCAGCTGCAAGGAGGTGCATAAACTTGGTACCTAAAATGCAATCAACCAAACCATGCCCTCCATAATGCCACACACCCACTGCCCCAGCCTAGCCCCCTGCTTCACAGTGCACAACTACACACCACTGGCTACTGCACACCCGCGACCATGCCACCATAATCCCAGACAACCGAACTGTATCTCTCTGAGCGCCACACCCACATCGCTGTCATCCACGCCCTGCCCTGGCTTCGCCCTCTTCTGCTGCACACGATTGCTTTTCTGAGCACTCTCAGCTACTATACCAGCAGGCCCCATATTCATGATCCCCCATCAACCAAACTGCATTTCCCTGAACGCCACGTCACTGTCATCCACGCCCTGCCCCAGCTTTGCCCGCTTCTTCTGCCTCACCCCTCCCGCCCCGCCGTCCAGAAACTGGGCAGCAGTTTTGGCGCGTAGCTCGTCTAATCCCTCCCACTCCTTGGCCCTCTCGAGCACGAGGTGCCGCCCGTACAGGTGGGTGTTCTTCAGAGCATCAAAGGCGCTTTCTGCTTCTCTCTTTGTGGCAAACTCCACAAAGGCGAATCCCCGATGGCCCCCATCGAACTTGCGGGGCAGACGCATGCTCTTGAGCTGTTGGAGGGGAGGGGGGAGAGGGTGGGAGGAATGTCGGGCAGCAGTTATAACGGGGCCTCACATAGGCGAAACCCTGATAGGCGAACCCCCCCAATGGGAGGAAAGGGGGGTTTCAGAAAACAATGCAGATGGGTAAGAGAAGCAAGAGGGGACCGGGAAAGGTCAAATCCCGACGGACCCCGTCGAACTTGGGCAGCAGACGCGTGCTCTTGAGCTGAAAAAGAGAGGGGTGAACAGAAGCGGGACGAAGGGAGGGTGGTGCCGGAGTGGGAAAAAGAAGGCAGGCGCATGCTCTTAATCTGCTCCGAGCACAGCCGATGGAAGGAAACGCCAATTTGTCATGCAGAGAGTAGATAGATAACTGTTGAGTCGACTCAAAAGTCATCACTTTCTGCCATGCAGAGAGTAGATAGTTTGACTAACCACGTGCCGAAACAGAAACCTGCGTTAAGTATCACCTGCCAAGAAAGCTTCACCATCTCGTGAGACCTACCTTCCGAATCGATTATATTCCCCGTCAAATCTCACCTGGCCGAAAGGAGCAAAGAGCTGCTGAATGTCTCTCTTGGTGGCCTCAAATGGCTGGGGGGAGGACGCAATGAGGAGGGGCGTAGACGGAGGAAGACTCAGGAAAGAACATGTGGATGAAACAGAGGAGGGAAAGCTGACGAGAAGGTGGGACGGCAGGAAGACGAGGGGGAACGCCTAAGTTGAGGGCTAGATTTCCACCATATCATGAGCGCAGTCCATGCTCGACATGCTCGACATGCTCGACATGCATACATTAAGGGTGTGATGGTCCTGCTGACTGAAGACGCGACGCAACGCATCAGGAAGATGCGCCCTTTGAATTAAACACAGAATCGTATCTAGCTCCCGTCACCCCCGATTGTGCACTAGCACGTTGGTTGAGCTCTCCTTCCCCTTGCCTCCTGCCCCTGCTACCCACCTCATACCCTCACGGACAGAATGGAACCCTTCGAGCTCTCCTTCCCTCATAATTCCACTCTCACCACGCCCACTCGTTGTTGTCACACCCTATTCACCATTCGTTACAGTCACATCCAACTCACCACATTGCGCACTATCACTTTGGTGGAGCTCTCCTTCCCCTTGCCGCCCGCCCCTACTGCCTCCCCCTTCCCCTCGCCCCCTCTAGTCTCCCCCTTGCTCAGCTGCAGCAGCAGCGCATGGCCATCCAACACAGTACCCTGCGGTCATACAATGCGGGGAGGAGAGGAAAATAAAAAAATAGGAAAATAGATAAGTGCCTCCCACTTTCCCTTTGCTCTCCCCCTTGGCCTGCTGCAGCAGCAGCGCGTGCCCTGAAGAGGTCGAAAGGAAAGAAAGGGAGGAGAGGCAGGGAGGAGAGGCAGGGAGGAGAGGCAGGGAGGAGAGGCAGGTAGGAGAGGCAGAGAGGAGAGGCAGGGAGGAGAGGCAGGGAGGAGAGGCAGGGAGGAGAGGCAGGGAGGAGAGGCAGGGAGGAGAGGCAGGGAGGAGAGGCAGGGAGGAGAGGCAGGGAGGAGAGGCAGGGAGGAGAGGCAGGGAGGAGAGGCAGGGAGGAGAGGCAGGGAGGAGAGGCAGGGAGGAGAGGCAGGGAGGAGAGGCAGGGAGGAGAGGCAGGGAGGAGAGGCAGGGAGGAGAGGCAGGGAGGAGAGGCAGGGAGGAGAGGCAGGGAGGAGAGGCAGGGAGGAGAGGCAGGGAGGAGAGGCAGGGAGGAGAGGCAGGGAGGAGAGGCAGGGAGGAGAGGCAGGGAGGAGAGGCAGGGAGGAGAGGCAGGGAGGAGAGGCAGGGAGGAGAGGCAGGTAGGAGAGGCAGAGAGGAGAGGCAGGGAGGAGAGGCAGGGAGGAGAGGCAGGGAGAAGAGACAGGGAGGAGAGGCAGGGAGGAGAGGCAGGGAGGAGAGGCAGGGAGGAGAGGCAGGGAGGAGAGGCAGGGAAGAGAGGCAAGAAACTATGGGGGGTTTAGAGACGTGCCTCTCCCTCCCCTCGCCCCCTCTACTCTCCCCCTTGCTCAGCTGCTGCAGCAGCGCGTGACCATCTAGGACCGCACCCTGTGGAGGTGAAAGGGGGAGAATGGGAGGAGGAGAGGAGAGTAATCTCAGGGGCTGAGACACGCGACTCCAGTTCCTCTCTCCCCCTTGCTCCCCCCCTTTGCTCCCCCCCTTGCTCAGCTGCAGCAGCAGCGCGTGACCATCCAACACCATCCCCTGTGGCGGTAGAAAGCAGAGGGGAGAGGGAGGGGAGGGGAGGAGAAGCGGGGGTTGTGTGGGGAGTTGCCAGAGGACGGGCAGGAAGAAGGGAGCACACACAAGAAGTTGGAACTGAGGGAGGAGTCTTGCCCTCTACCAAGACTGGAAAGGGGGGAGGAAGGGAGGGGGGGGGAAAGAGAAAGCTGAGAGGGAATTTTGGGTATTGGGAAAAAGGCTGGGTGATCTCTAAGGAAGAACCCCAACCTGCAGCCGCGTGCACACTCACTGTGCAACCAGCAGGGAGCCAAGAAGTAGCACCCATACCATGTGTGCAATGTATCAGTGGATACTCATTAGCTTGATACTCATTAGCTTGATACTCATTAGCTTGATACTCATTAGCTTGATACTCATTAGCTTGATACTCATTAGCTTGATACTCATTAGCTTGATACTCATTACGTGACACAATATCCAACGCAGCACGCATCCCACTCACCTGCAGCAGCTTGCATGCTCGGCTCGGTGGGCAGCCAGCATGGACCTAGGAAGCAGCACCCAGGTATGCAACGTACCACCATTGCACACTCATTACCTGACTCCATGTGCAGCGCACACCCCACTCACCTGCAGCAGCTTGCATTGTCGGTGGGCAGCCAGCACGGAGCCAAACGCACCACCCATGCATGCAACATGTAACGGCCGGGCATGCCAATACATGGCGGCATAAGCAGCACATTGCACCCACCTGCAGCAGCTTGCATGCCCGGTGGGCAGCCAGCATGGAGCCAAACTCCACAAACCCGAACCCCATCGACAGCTGCTTGCCATTGCGCACTCGCTTCTTGATCTGCCAGCGGTGCAGCACGCAGCAGGGGTGTGCATCAGAAGAGAGAAGCAAGAGGAGAGGGGAGGGAAGGGAGGAGTGAATGAGAGCTTCGCTATCAAGAAACCCGAACCCCATCGACAGCTGCTTTGCCGTTCGACACTGGCTTTTTTATCTGCTGTGGATTGTCAAGCACGCAGAAGAACACAGTGAGCGCCAGCGTCGAGCCATGCGCATGAATACGGCACTCTGGCTGGACGCTGGACGCTGAATACGGCAGTCCCAAGTTACAGCAGCTCGTGATCATCTCGCCTCGCACCAAGAATCATAAATTTGGTGCATGAATCACGAGCATCACGAGTCATGGGTAGGTCATGATCACACGACCCCACAACCTCACTTCGAATCAGCATGAATCCACATCTCACCGTCACGCTGCGTATTGCTGGCCCCTCCCCATCCCGCCCTCCTTGCTTGCTTCTAAGAAGCTTCTCGAAGTGCTCCTTGAGTTGTGCCTCACTCGTGCCGAAGCTGAGGTTCTTGACAAACACGCTGTGCGTGGTGGGCTGACGTTGGAGGGAGGAGCGGCAGGAGAGGGGAGGATCAGAAAGCCATAAGAATGGGACAGACAGGGCGACATTGAAGCTCAGGTTCTTGACAAACACACTGTGGCTCTCATGGGATAGGGTTTGTCGGGCAGAGTGGGGAAAGGGGGAAAAAGGAGGAATGGGAAGGGGCATTAGAAGGGGACAGGATGCATTGTCGTTCAGGTTCCTTTTGACTCGACTCAAAAGTCATCTTGACGTTCAGGTTCTTCACGAACACACTGCGTGGGTCCGTCCGTGGGCTGCACATGGTTGGGTTGGGGAAGGAGCAGCAAAGTCGAAACGCGTTAAATCTTGTGAGAAAGGGATGGATGAGCTGAGCTGAGGCAAAGGAGTTGTCGAGCGGGCAAGGCAGACAGGGGGAAAGCAGACGCTATCGTTGTGCGTGCTGTTGTTTCACTTGCCATGTTCGTGACATAAGACACGGCACAGCAGCAAGTAACACGATGCAGCACACGCTACTGATGGACTTCCTTTGCAGTTCACTCGACCCCCATCATAGCGGAATTGGGCCGCCTTCAACCCTGAATCACCACCTCCCATCCCATCCCACCCATTCTCAGCGCACGTCCCACCCCCCCAAAATTCACCCTAACTTCACCCCTCCATCCACCAACACTGGAAGCAGCACAAGGCACGAGAACACAAGGCATGACAACCCTATAACCTCGTTCACTCCCGTTCGCTCACCTGACTGTCTTCCTCCCCCTCCACTGGCTCCCCTTCACCCCCTGCGCCCCCCTCTCTCCCCCCCACCATCTCCTCCTCTGCTGCCAACCTCCGTGCCGCCTTCCCATCCACCACCACTGGCAACAGCCCCACCACTTTCTGACCCTTCTTATCTCCTCTTTCCTTCCCACCCCTCGCATCCCCTTCTCCCGGCCCTCCGCCTGCCTCCCTAGTAGTAGCAGCTGCAGCTGCGGCTGCGGTTGCGTTTGCAGGTGCATCCGATGGTGCTGCAGGTTCTAGGAAGATTCCTTCCGGTGCCCATTCGAGGTACAGGGGCACATGCCTGGTTGGTTGGTTGTCAACGGAAACAAGAAGGTGAAGGACGTCATGAGGAGTGTGATGAGGGACAAGGAAGGAGGCCCAAGGGAACTACGAGAGCTGCATAGGTCATGGCATCCAATGGAGGCATCAAGTTACGTTGGGCCCCAAACGTTGACGTTGACAATAATGTTAAACAGCATGCCAGTGCCAGACCATGCCGGGCAGGTCAAATAAACGGGTGACCCCATGACGCCGTCAAGGGGATCTTGGAGGTCAACAAAACCAAGGGGTCAGAAACACTCGTCTGTACCCCTTATAGCACATGCAACCATACCCGTTACAAGCCACTCACTGGTATCTCTTATAAGCAAGGCCTTTGAAAGCCCTCTTGGCATCAGCAGAATCAGCCATCTCCACCTAAGGAATAGAGTGGGGGAAAATATGGGGGTTTGGTGGGGGGGGGAGGAGACAGAAAGGGGGAGTCGGGGGGGAGGGGGGAGGGGGAGAGGAAGGCCAGACGAACATGTGAGGGCTGAGTATACATGCGTTAGACTGTGTTGAGAAGGGGAGGTAGTGGCCGACGATGAGGATTGACTCAAGGCAGCACACTGGAAAGAAAAGCATGCAAGCAGAAGCAGAAGGAAGCACACGCGCTTCTGAGGCTCCCTCAACAGGCGCTGAAACACGACCACCAACTCCCAACTACAATTGCCGTGGAACACCCTCTTTCCCACCCCAGTGACCCAGTCCCCCCCTCTCCAACCCCCACCACCCCCAGCACACCCTTGTACGAAAAGGGTGGGGGAAAGTGGGTAGCAACTGTATTCGTGAGCAGCAGCATGAGCCGCGCCAAGAGGCCGCACCGCTAAAACATTACCCTCAGCTCCCCCGGGTCTACCACTCACACCGGACATGCTTTCTGCCAAGCCAGTGCAACTGTATTTGTGAGCGGCAGCACGAATCTTGCCACAGGCCGTGTTGTTGGAACAAGCCCACCAGCTCGCCCCGCTCCACCTTGAATGGCAGGTTCTTCAGCAGGAGTCCTAAGGCTCTCACATCTACACCCGTTCCCCCCCTATCCCCCCCTATCCCCCCCTATCCACCCCGTTCCCCCCTATCCCCCCCTATCCCCCCCTTTTCTCCTCACCAGTGCCACAGTGTTGGTAGGAGGTAGCACAAACCGCGCCACAGGACCGTATCGTTGGAACAAGCCCACCAGCTCGCTCGCCTCCACCTTGAACGGCAGGTTCTTCACCAGCACCACGCTCCTGCTGCGCGCCAAGCCACCAGCCCCACCACCGTCCGCCTTAGCGTCGGCTTTACCAGCTGCTTTGGCGGCTGCTTTAGTGGCGGCAGCAGCGGTGGCAGCGGTGGCGAATTTCTCCAGGAGCCCCACATCGATGCCCGCGTCCAGCAGCGCCCTCTTGGTGTCCGCCACTATGTGCGCCTCTCCCAGGGCCAGGCGCACGGCCGTGTCACTGGCTGAGGGGTCAAGCAGGTCCCTCTTCGCCACTCCGTACCGCTGGGCCACTGCTTCTGCCACCTGAAAGTCAGGGTAGAAGATGGAGGGAAGCAACGAGAAGGAAAGAGAGAAGGGAGAAGTAAGGGATCGATGACCACAAAGAGCAGCATGTCTGCATGAGCCCCACGTCGATCCCTGCGTCCAGCAGCGCCCTCGTGGTGTCCGCTACTATGTGTGCCTCCCCCAGAGCCAGGCGCACGGCCGTGTCACTGGCTGAGGGGTCGAGGAGATCCCTCTTCGCCACTCCGTATCTCTGTGCCACTGCTTCTGCCACCTGACGTAAGGATGTGGATGGAGGGAGGAGAGGGAGTGTCAAGCAACGCTCGCTTGGTATCCGCCACTATGTGTGCCTCTCGTAGAGCCAGGCGCATGGCTGTGCCACTAACTGATGGATCCAAGAGATCTCGCTTAGCCACTCCGTACCGCTGGGCCACTCCTTCAGCTGCCTGCGCCACTCCTTCAGCTGCCCACGTCGATCCCCGCGTCTGGCAGCGCGCTTGGTATCGGCCACTATGTGGGCCTCCCTAGGGCCAGGCGCACGGCCGTGTCACTAACTGACGGATCCATCCAGGAGATCCCTCCCTGCCATCCCGCACCGCTGTGCCACTGCCTCTGCCACCTCGGTGTAGGCCCAAGGAGAGGGGAAGGAAAGAGCAGCATGTCTCTATTAGTGCCATGCAGCATCAGGCCGAACAAGCACAGGCGTGCAATCACACACACCCCTCACACCACCACACACACCCCTCACACCACCACACGCAGCCCTCACACCACCGCGTGCACGGTGCACCCCTCACACACACCACCACACGCACCCCTCACACCACCACATGCACCCCTCACACCACCAGACACCCCTCACACCACCACACACACCCCTCACACCACCACACGCAGCCCTCACACCACCGCGTGCACGGTGCACCCCTCACACACACCACCACACGCACCCCTCACACCACCACATGCACCCCTCACACCACCAGACACCCCTCACACCACCACACACACCCCTCACACCACCACACGCACCCCTCACACCACCACATGCACCCCTCACACCACCACACGCACCCCTCACACCACCACACGCACCCCTCACACCACCACATGCACCCCTCACACCACCACATGCACCCCTCACAGCATCACATATCCTCTCCCACCATATCTGGCCGCATGTAGAAGGAGCATTCACACACCATGGTGCTACAGGCCCACCACACGCACACTCATGCATTCACGTGCCCGCATCCCACCGTATCAGGTCGCATGTAGAAGGAGCTCCAGGCGCGGGTATCCCCTCCCGCCTCCCGCTTCTTCCGCTCCTCCTCCCTCCTCTCCTTCAACGTCCCTGCCTGCTGGCTCGCCTCCCTGCACCAAATTGCAGGGGAAAACGACATTATAGGCAGGGAGCACGTGCAGCAGGCGGCCTTGGAAGACGGAGGAATGAACGCGTCAGAACATGGGAGGCATTGCCCCTCACCCTCTTTGCAGCAACACGACTCACTCGTCTTTCTTTGGCGGGGGTCTGTGCGCCGGCAGCACGTGCAGCAGGCGCCCTTGGAAGATGGAGGAGTCCAGGGCCTTCATGGCACTGCGCAGTGCAGCCAGGGGGAGGTAGTTACATGAGGGCAGAGGGGAAGTGGAACGCGGAGGGAAAGAGGCCGAAAGGAAAAGCATGGGTGTGCAATGCAGTGTGGGAAGATGAAGGAGTCCAGTCCAGCGCCTTCATGGGGCTGCACAGGCTTGCAGCCACAGGGAGGGAGGGGTGAAGGGGTGGCGGCCACAGGGAGGGAGGGGTGAAGGGGTGGCGGCCACAGGGAGGGAGGGGTGAAGGGGTGGCGGCCACAGGGAGGGAGGGGTGAAGGGGTGGCGGCCACAGGGAGGGAGGGGTGAAGGGTGGCGGCAGGAAGGAAGAGGGACGGATGGGGGGGGGTACGCGTCCTGGCACATTGAAAAACACGTAGGCGAAGCGAAGCCCTTGGGCAAAACAGTAGCATTTACAAGGTGAACCTCACAGTACAATGCCAACGCTCACCTGACAGCGTCCTCAGGCACAGTGAAGAGCGCGTGGGCGAAGCCCTTGGACAAAACAGTAGCATTAACAAGGTGCACCTCACTCACAGTACAACGCCATTACTCACCTGACAGACAGCGCCCTCAGGCACAGTGAAGAGCGCGTGGGCGAAGCCGTCGGTCAACAAGCAGCAACAAGGTGCAGTGAACCTCTCACTCTCAACGCGTGCCAGCAGCACGCAAGCCAGGGCATCGCATGATCGCACCACAGCCCGCGTCGTCGCATGGCGGCAACACGCACCTGACAGCGTCCTCAGGCACAGTGAAGAGCGCGTAGGCAAAGCCCTTGGACAGCTTGGTCTGGCGGTCCACCACCAGATGCACCTCGGCGAGCGAACCGAAGGGCGATAGCAGCGCGCGCAGATCACCCTCCCTGCAAGCGATGGGTGCAGAGGAACAGAGGTGGGGGGGGGTGGAGATGTTTAGGGCAGGAGAGATTTGTCTGTAAGCCAACCACCAGAAGCACCCCAGCCAGGGAGCCAAAAAGGGGAGAGCAGGGCACACAGATCGTCCTCACTGGAAGCAGGGGGGGAAAGGGGGGGAGGTAGGGGAGGGGATGGAGGGCAGGACAGCTTGGTCCGCCGGTCCGCCACCAGCCCAGATGCACCTCGGCCAGGGAGCAAAAAGGGGAGAGCAGGGCACACAGATCGTCCTCGCTTGGAGGGGGGGGGAAACCGGGGGAAGGTAGGGAAGGGGATGGAGGGCAGGACAGCTTGGTCCGCCGGTCCGCCACCAGATGCACCTCGGCCAGGGAGGGAGCAAGAAGGGGAGAGCAGGGCGCGGAGGCCATCCCTGCTGCAGAAGGTAAAGGGTGGATAAGGGGGGCGACCGGGGGGGGAATGGGGGGAAGGTCGGCAGAAGGGACGGAGAAGAGGGGCAGAAGGAAGGGAGAATGCGGGGAGAAAGGGGGGAGAAGGGGGGGAAAAGAGGGGGAGAAGGGGGGGGGGGGGAGAAAGGGGGGGAAGGGGGGGGGCGGATGATAGGCTGGAATTCCAGCAGCAGTTGCACGTTGGCAACGAAGGGAGGCGCTGGGAGGAGGTGGCGAGCAGGAGAAGCGGGAGGAATAAAATCAAAGTGATGCGCATACGAGGAGGAGGGGCACGTACGAGGCGGAGTAGCAGAGGTTGCGGATGAAGAGGCGGCCCGTCTCCCGCACGTCCTCTGCTGCTCCCCCATCCACCGTAGCAGGCCCTCCCTCCGCCGCTGCTCCATCCACCACTCCATCTGTGTTATCCCTCCCTTCCTCTCCTCCCTCTTCTTCCTCTGCTTCCTCCCCTTCCTCCCCTTCCTCCCCTTCCTCTCCCTCTTCGTCCCCACCCTCCCCCTCCTCCACATCTCCTTCCTCCTCCTCTCCCTCACTCTCTCCCCCACTCTCTTCCTCGGCCCCCCCTATCCTCTCCACTTCATTCGCCTTCCGCTCATTGTCCTCTTCGCCATTCTCCTCCTCCTCCTCCTCATCGTCCTCATCACTCCAATTGGAGGCGACTCTCTTCTTGAGATAGTCCAAGTTACTCAAACCGCCTTCCTCCTCTTCCTCCTCCTCCCCCTCCTCTCCCTCCTCCCTTTCGCTCTCATCCTCCTCCTCCCCATCTCCTCCCCCCCTCTCCTCCCCCTCCTCACTCCCATCCCCCTCTACAATCACATCCCCATACAACTCATCGTCACTCTCCTCCCCTTCCTCCACCTCCCCACTCTTCCTCCCTCCTCTCCCCACCTCCACCACACCCCCACTCACACTCCCACCTCCCCTCCCCTTCCCCGTTCCCCCTCCCCCAACTTCCCCATCAGCAGTATCATTAGCCCATACCTTCTTCTTCCCTCCTCTCTCCATCACTTCCAAAAACTCCCTAAACCCCTCATCCTCCCTCGCTGCTTGCTTCACTGCCACCCCTCCCACTGCCCCCTCCGTCTTCTTCTTCCCTCCTCTTTCACCCTTCCCTCCCTCCCCCCGCTCCCCACCCTCCTCCCCATCTCCTGCCTCTCCCCCAGCCTTTTCACCCCCCCGCTTCCCCCCTGCCCCTGCGCCCTCTCCCCCCTTCTCCTTCGCCTGTGTGTGTTTGCTCCAGGCCCGGGGTAAAGCAGTGTGGCCGATAGGCATGGCGAACTAGGGGAAGGGGAGGGAAGAGGTAAACGAAAACGAAATGGGATAAGGACAGAAGGACATCGGTCTGTGTGTGCTTGCTCCAGGCCCGGGGTAAAGCAGCGTGGCAGATAGGCATGGCAAACTGAGTGAGAGGGGAGAGTAGGAAGGAGAGGAAAAGGGCACAGAGAGGACAAGGAAAAGGAGATGGAGAAATAAGAAAAGGAGGCGGCGGAGAAGTAAGGAGAAATGAACGCGAGAACTTGAATGAAAACGATGGGAGAGAAGAGAATGGTCACACGTGACTGCCCAGCACATCAGACGCATCAGAGCCGGCCTCAGAATCTACAAGTTGACCCAATTGCCCAAAACCCTGTGCCCTGAACCTGTGACGATGTAACACCGTTACCTCTCACACATAGGCTGACCCAACTGAGTAGGCTACTTAACGCCTGAGTAGTGCTTATAAACCACGCACCTCCCACGCGATGTGTGCTTATATGCAACTCGCAGGTGTGATGGGATGGGACGATGTGATATAGGGTTACCTCACCTCGCAGGTGAGCCTATTGTGTTTGGAATGCTGCAGGGTTACCTCACAGGTAAGTCGAAACGTGTCCATAAAGGAGCGGTTGAAGTAGGATATAACCGCCGCTGCCTCCTCCTCTGACCGAAGGCCCACAAACCCAAACTGCCGTGACCGACCGTCGCTGGAGGGGGGGAGATGATGGAATGAGACGCGAGGAGGGGGGAGATGATGGAATGAGACGCGAGGAGGGGGGAGATGATGGAATGAGACGCGAGGAGGGGGGAGATGATGGAATGAGACGCGAGGAGGGGGGAGATGATGGAATGAGACGCGAGGAGGGGGGAGATGATGGAATGAGACGCGAGGAGGGGGGAGATGATGGAATGAGACGCGAGGAGGGGGGAGATGATGGAATGAGTCGCGAGGAGGGGGGAGATGATGGAATGAGACGCGAGGAGGGGGGAGATGATGGAATGAGACGCGAGGAGGGGGGAGATGATGGAATGAGACGCGAGGAGGGGGGAGATGATGGAATGAGACGCGAGGAGGGGGGAGATGATGGAATGAGACGCGAGGAGGGGGGAGATGATGGAATGAGACGCGAGGAGGGGGGAGATGATGGAATGAGACGCGAGGAGGGGGGAGATGATGGAATGAGACGCGAGGAGGGGGGAGATGATGGAATGAGACGCGAGGAGGGGGGAGATGATGGAATGAGACGCGAGGAGGGGGGAGATGATGGAATGAGACGCGAGGAGGGGGGAGATGATGGAATGGGGACGACAGCGGGAGGGAGGGAGGTCAGGGGGAGGGGAAGAGACGGGACGCCGTGGCGATAGGCGAAAGGCGGAGACGAGGAGGAGGGAGGAGCGGGTTGAACAAGAGGCAATGGAGACGACGAGCTCCTGCGAAAGTCACACGTTTTAACTCGTTAAAACTGAAACTCGATATAGGCTTAAACGACTTGTTTTACGCTAGGAAACCCAACATACAGGCATCTTGCTAGGACGTCAGCACGAGCTTATGCCACGCTGGCGGCAGCGCTCACCGTGTGCGCATGACCTTGGCATCGGTGACGTGGCCCTTGACGGAAAAGTGCTCCCTCAGTCTGTCCTCCGTCACGTATTCTGGCAACCCCTTGACGCACACGCGCGTGCTGCGAGGCATCTGAGGAGCCTCCTCCGTTTGTACCCCCATGGTCAACACCGCTATTGGCAATCAGGCTAGCTATTGCGAGTCAGCTAGTCAACCTCTCTAGTGACAGCCAACCACGAGGTCAACGGAGAGTCAACGGAGAGTCAACGGAGAGTCAACGGAGGGTCAGCGACGCGGTCAATTAGCCGAGAGGGAGGCACAGGCCTGAACGCGAGGCTACAGACGCGAAGCAGAAGCCCGGCGACAATTCTCGACAAGGAACTCCGCGCGAATAGCTCGTGAATGCAGACTCGATCGATACAGAGTTGCCCTTGGCTGGCTAATCAGGCGGAACAATGTGCTGAGACGCGCGGGCGGATATGAGAGCTGAACGAGAGGAGGACTAGTGTCAGTGAGGAGGACATGCGTGGCCACGTGAAGAATCTCTGTTGGACGGACCCGACCCAACGGTCGTATTACAGATTCAATGCTCGGACGACAGCGATTAGGGTTTTTGGGAGTAATGAAGCTGAACGGCGCGGCTGGGGTAGAGGGGACAACAAGTGGTTTCGGGTTTGGCGACAATGATTTCTGTAGAATCAATAACACATTATAATCGCGGGAAAAACACTTTCCTAGCTGATCAGCTTATATCATGCTTGTAGAACCCCACATAAGACCACTTTCGTATAATGTAGAAAACCAGGGCCCTAACCAACTACACTGCCTGGCATTTTCCTTCATGAATCATCTCCGCTACTTTGTTTGTCAATGCATCATAACTCTTAACCACGTCTATCTGGCACCCAGAGAGCTTAGGATATATTCTCTCATACGCCCCACCAGCTTCCTCCGCTCCTCTCCTAAAATATATAATATTCCTGCCGCCCCAGTAGCTCGACAACACCGATGTGCCGCCCTGTACACTGACGAAGCACGAGCTTCGAGCCATCATCCTGAACTGCACCTCGTTATAGTCACAATTGTGACAGTTCCTGCGGAGGAGCTTGTGCATTGTAGTGAAGCGAGTCTCCAAACGAAACTCCTGTCGGAACATTCGGTACTCGCCCAAGCTGGTCAGATCCCGCTGCTCCCGGTCAGTTCTAAAGGCCTTCCCTGCCCGGTTGTACACCACGTAATACCCACTATTGAGAAACTCGGTAACGATCCGTTTCAGCGTCCGAATGTCGATGAAGTTTACCGGCGGCTCACCCCATTCCGTCTCGAACTTGTTGCTGATTACAACCAGAGGAGCACCTGCCGGCACGTCAGTCCACACCGGGCCCAGCCCCCGAATGTGGGAGGCCAGCGGAGGGGGCGTCCAGCGCTCGGGAATATCACTGTCATGCAAACCCTCCTTGAAACCATACCGCTTGATCACGTAGTTGAAGTGTGCGGATCGCTTGCACTTCCATCCGACGGTCTGGATGGGGCTGAAGAAGTAGAGCAGCGCGAGGGACGGCATGGCGCAGAATCTAGTGGAGTTTAAGGAGCCGTTCAGGTGGTGCCAGTAGGCCACCGGCAGCGCTGCGATCAACTCGTACCCAAACTCGCCCCGGAAGAAGATGTTCACGGGGCTGTGGAGGGATGCGGGACGGGAATTACCAGTGGGGTCTAGGTTCGGTGCGGGGAGGACGGCTGTGGTTGTGGGGTGCAACAAAGGAGGGCGATGAGAGATGGGGTCATGGTCAAGAGACGCTGAGGAGGATGTTGCTGAAGTGAACGGATCTGGGAGCAAGAGAGCGTTCTCTGCAGCAGAGGTCGTGTGTGGGAAGACAGAATGGCTGCTTTCAGGAGAGCTGTGGGTTGGGAGGGTGTGCGAGAGAAGGGTGTTAGCAGACCGGGGTTCTGTGGGAAGTCTGTCTAAAGAAAACATGTGGGTTGGGAGGGCGTGTGTGGCAAGGCTGCTCGAATCAAGTGGTCCTGTAAGACGGGCTTCTGGAAAGGGGTAGGGAAGATGCGAGGAAGAGGGGTTGCTGGGATGGGAATCGGGTTGCTCGCCTTGGCTTTGGGCCTGTGTGCTGTACGGCTGGTGTCTGTGCAAGGAGTGAGGATGGGGAGGGGGAAACGTGGGCAGTGAGAGGGGAAGCGATGGCTCAGGTGCAGCCCTCTGCAAGGCGGACACGGATGGTCGAGCCAAGACGGAGGCAACAGCTTCTTGAGCCTCCGAGGGTAAGGACGAGGCGGCGGTGGGTTCTGGAGCTCCCGAGGCGATTGACTCTTGAGACGCGGAGCCTGGCCGGGAGGGTGTGAGGGCAGGAGAAGGCGGGGTGGACGGATGGGGGCGAGGGTAAGTGGCAGGATGGAGCAGGGCGAGGGCGGTGGCTATGGGTGCGGGGCAAGTAAGACCTTGGGAGGAATGAGGGAGGGACTACCAGCTCAATAGATTTTGTGGCTCACGAAGCCCACCTGCTGAAAGCATCACTCCAGAAAGCGGAAGAGCAAACGAACGACCTCCTTGGAGAAAGAGCTTGAAGAATTTCAAGAGAATTCCGAGTCGTTTCAAGAGAAGGAGCAACTCACTATGGGCGACATGCGCTGGGGAAGAATCCTCTGGCACGCCCCTCCGGGTGCCTGCCAGCCCTAGCACTTCCGGAGAGGAGACACGTGATTCCTGAGGTCCCATGATATCCGGAGAGGAGTCAGGCGAGCCCTCAGGGCGATGAGTATCATGCGAGCCCTGGGGCTTGGCGCGCTGCGGACGGAAGAGCGGCGAGGTCACGAGCCCGAGGGCGACGAGGAGAAGCAACGCGAGGAGCCTCGGCGGCCTCTTGCTCCGAGGAAAGCAAGGCCATCGCGAGTGAGGCGGCCACGGGAGCGAGCGCCTGTGCATGATGTCGGCGCGTCACGCGGAGTGGCAGCAGGCTGGTTTAGTGGGAGCTGCTGTGGTCAGCAGTGGCAGCACAGAGGACCAGGGGGCGGCCACGGGAACGAGCGCCAGTGTGCACTCCCTGTCGGTTCGCGAAGGGTGGCGGCAGCATGCCACTGCTGGCAGCTGGCTGTCTTTGCCGCGCCTCGAAACTACTACTGGTCTAGACTTTTATCAAGCCAAGGAGAAAGCGTCTTTCATCAGTACTGGCTGTCGTTGCGGCGCCTCGAAACTCCTAGGCTAGACTTTTATCAAGCTAGGGCGCGGAGAGTGTGTGTACGTCGGCGCGTGCGCGTTGGCAGGGGCATGCTGGACTCTCTTGCGTACAGCGCCGGATTTCATCCCTACCTTTCCGAAACGCACGCGTAAAGCACCGCCTCTTGCTTACAGAGCTGAAGCACGCTACCACTCTTGGAAAACGCTAACCCTTGGAAAACGCTAACCCTTGGAAAACGCGAAACCAATCTGAGCTCACATGCCTTGGGAGCTAGTAGTCGCCCTCCCTCGGCGTGGCTCATCCTCCCTCGGTGGAGGAAAATGACAATCATCGGTTGACCAACAGCCACTACTACATAACTACGCAAGCTCCGCCATAACGGAACGTGCGAGCGGCCATGGAGCGACGATAGGTCTCCGCGAAACAGCACGTCAATATCGACCAGGACTGCTTCGACTACCCTGCCTGCTGATCGCCTGTACTTGAATGGGAAATCGCTCACGACTACCAACATGCTCTCTCGCCACCTTACTGGCTGACTTGAAAACCACAACTTCCATTCCTCAGTGCAAGAAGCCCGGCCAGCGGCGATCCAGTAGGATTCGATCCCAGGACCATTCGTCTGCTGGGATCACTTTGATGGCTGGGAACTCGTATGTGCAACCAGTTTAGTCGGTAGTACTTACCACAAACGAGTGTTCATTTTCCCTAACAATCCCACCCAAGCGTCCTATGTTAATAACGAACCTCCAGAACTGTTCACCACTACGGTAGGTACACTGACCCACTACGAACGAACCATGCACCAAGAGCAGATCACCATTTCCGCTTTCAACGGCGCACTTAGCTCCGCCGAATTACACGCCAACCAGGCCAGTGAACGCGAGCATGCTTTCCAAAAGACGACGCTGTCTATGACTCGGAGTCTCTTCAATGTGCCTCCCTGGCGGGTTCTTCTTCCAAGCGCTTTGCTCTAATCCGTTACCTCCGATGGCACTCCAGTAGACGCCACAGGGATCGCCATATATCGACCATTCTCTCGACGCGGTTCGCTGTTTCCCTCTATTAAGGACGCGCTTTACTCTGATCTGCTAGCTCCCGAATTGCAGCTCACCTGACGCAACTTGCGTAAAAAGCGGGTCACCGCACACTAGTATCAGCCATGCAACCAATCGCGGCGGCGCCGCATGATGCCAGGATTACCGGAATCGGCGGGTCGTTAGTATCGGCGCCGGCGGTACTCGCGCTGGCGCTGATCGGCGCGCTTGCGGTTTTTTCGGAGGTGTTTGCGCTCGTGCGCGTGGGCGTGTCGCCGTCCTACGTGTCGTTCTCGTCCGCCGTGGCCGCCGTTCACGGAGGCGATGCCACGTGGAGTGAGGGAGGTGCAGCAGCGGGAGATGCGGAGAGCAGCCAGGAGGCATCGCCTTGGTCTGGGGGTGAGCCATCTCGCATGTCGAGGGGAGATGGGGGAAGGAGGAAGGGGGAAGGGGGAGGGGAGGGGGAGGGGAGGGGGAATTGGGGGTGAGGGGTGGGGGATGGGGGGTATGCAAGCGGAGATTCATGCAAGCGGGATTGGGGGATTGGGGGATCGGGGGTGAGGTATCTCGCATGTTGTGTTGAGATTAATTGATTGATGCATTAATCTGATTAGTATGGGGAGACAGGAGATTGGTGGGAGGGAGGGATGCGGGGAACGGCGGAATGGCGTTTTTAAGTGGGATGGCGTTTTTAAGTGGGATGGCGTTTTTAAGTGGGATGGCGTTTTTAAGTGGGATGGCGTTTTTAAGTGGAATGGCGTTTTTAAGTGGGATGGCGTTTTTAAGTGGGATGGCGTTTTTAAGTGGGATGGCGTTTGTAAGTGGCATGGTGGTGGGGTATGCGGATGCAGAAATGGCGGGCTGATTGATGGCATATGCATGCGGCCGGATGGGCCGTGGGTACAGGTTGTTTCAGGAGAATGCTGAGAGCTTATCTCATGTGCACGATGCTTTCTTTGCTTGCGTTAAGTACAATGCATTTGGCTCAGTTTTTCCTGCCTCCCCTCCCCCCCCCAATCTTCTCCTCCCCCCCCCCCTGGCCCCGCTCCTTCCCCTCCTTATTCCGCACCCGCGCCCTCTCATTCTGATGCCTTTGGCCTCCGCTGTTCTATCCATCCACAATGCTGCCTCGTCCCTCTCTCCTGCCGCTGCTCTGTTCTCGCTCCTCCCACCGCGACTGCTTCTCCCGGCTCTCCTTCCAGCCAGCCAATCAGAGCCATCTGACACCTCAGACTCCTTCACACCTGACTCAGCAGACCCTACTGGCGCTTCCAATGCTGCAGCAGCAGCAGGGGATGCTGCAGGGGAAGGGAGCTCGGCTGTCGATTCTCTCCTGCCGCCCTCTCTGCTGCCGTCCGAGTCAAGGGCAGGGCTCATGTTCGATGCTCTGCTGAGGGCACAGTTTAGAGTGCAGCAGGTTTGTTTCTCTTTCCCCATTCCCCCCTCTCGCTGCTCGCTCTGCTGCAGTCTGAGTCAAGAGCAGGCTCATGTTCGACTATCTCCTGAGGGCACAGTCGAGAGTGCAGCAGTGGGTTGTTCGATCATGTGGACTGGATGGATGTGTGCGTTACAGTTTTTAGTTGAGAGAGCGATAGGTGCCCTCTCTCGCCCTCTGCTGCCGACTGAGAGTCACGAACAGGGCTTATGTTCGATGCACTCCTGGGGGCGCAGTTCAGATCAGAGCCACAGCAGGTGGGTTACAGGAGGTTGGTGGGTTACAGTCACCGGGTGAGTTACATCAGCATGTGGGTTACAAAAAGCTGGTGGGTCACAGTCACCGGGTGAGTGACATCAGCAGGTGGTTTACATCCGGCAGGTTGGTCACAATCAGCAGGTGGCTTACAATTGGCAGCTGGGTTACAACTTACAACTTACAATCGGCGGGTGGGTTACAATGCTAGGTGGGTTATAATTGGCAGGTGGACAGGGCAGGGCTCATATTCGATTTTCCCTGCACGAGCATGGCAGCAGAGGCGCTGTGCCTCCCTGCTGACTCCTTGACCACACTACTACATGACCTAGCCGCTCCCCTTCCCCCTCTTACGATCACCCTAGGCATGGTCGATGGATGAGCTACTGCTGGGTTCCACAGTGCATCTGTCCCGTTAAAACGTGGTGGGGAGCGATAATGGCTGGCAGCAAGGGCGCTGTGGCTGCCTGCTGGCTTCCTCTCTCTCCTATGAGGCATTGTTTATTAGGCTCTTTGCGTTTCTTGTATGTTCTCCTTCTCTATGTTGTTTGATATCCCGCCTTGTATTGCTTCTCTTTCCACTAACATCCCTTGCGACCTTTCCACCTCCTGCCACTCAACCGCGCTAGCCTCATCACCCCCCCATCATTCACCTCCTGTTTTCACTTACCCACGTTTTCACTTCCTCTCGTTGCCTATGACCTGCCACCCATCATGAACCCCCTTAACGTTGTCATTATCTTTTTCAAGCCGCACAACTGCTTTAACTTTGTGTACATGTTCCTAATCTGATCATGTGATCGCATTCGTAACTTCGATCTCTGGTCTCGTTAGGAACACGTATGCTAAGTTAAAGCGGCTGTAGGGTTTGAGAATGATGCACACAAGCTCCATGAAGCGCCCCAATTAAATGGATTCGTATAAAGTCTAAACTCACAAATTTTCCGTCGATGTAGATGCTTGGTATGGTATGCAAAGTCCATTCTTCACATGGACATGGTAGGTATTCGACGCTGGAGATAGCTTCTCCCGCATGTACATTAGTTCGATCTCCGTGTACTGTTTCACGTGCACCTGCTCCTCCATCAAGTGCCCCATTTCCATTATGCTAGGTATATATGAAAGAAGTTCCCATTATCCTTGAGAGGAGCGCCGGTCAGGCTGGGAGTCCGCCCAGGACGAGTCACTGTAGCCAGCAAGGGTGGCAGGAGCAGTGCCACGAAGAGTGAGGGCGTAGCCCTTCGTGCCATGGAGGTAGCGAAGCACTCTTTTGGCCGCAGTCCAGTGTTCGTCCATGTGGCGTCCGGTCCCGACGAAGTGGGCGAGGACGCTGATGGGGTAGGCGAGGTCGGGGCCGGTGCACATCATGGCGTACATGAGGGAGCCAACGAGTTCGGGGTAGGGGTTGGTGGAGGAGATGGGTTGTGCTGGTGGTGCGAGCTGATGGCCGAATTCAAGGGGGGTGGAGACTGGGCGGGCGCTGGCCATGTTGAAGCGGGCGAGGACGTTCTCAAGGTAGAACTGCTGCGAAAGGGTGATGGTGCGGGAGGCACGGTCCTGTGTGATGGTCATGCCCAAGTAGTTTTCCAGCTCCCCAAGGTCCTTGCAGGCCAGATGTGTCTGAAGGTCGCGCTTGACCTGTGTCATCTCTGCTACGTCATCCGCGACCATGATCATATCGTCAACGTAGACGAGGATGTAGAAGCGGGATGGGGCGGTACGGATGAACAAGCTGACATCTGCCTTGGAGGGGGAGAACCCGAGGGGTTGGAGAGTGGAAGCGAGTTTGTTGTACCATTCCCGAGGTGCCTGTTTGAGGCCGTAGACTGGGCGACGGAGGTCCCAAACAGTATCGGGGGGGAATGGCTCGTGAAACCCTTGGGGTCGTTCCAAGTGGACCTCTTCATGGAGTATGCCTTGGAGAAAGGCATTGGAGACATCCATGCAATTGTCGCATTCCCTCTCCCCGATGGCCCACCTCTCCCCTCTAGCCGGGCTTCTCCTGCGCCTTCCCTTTTCTCCTCTGATATGTAATTGTGACTGATTTCCCCCGCTCTATGTAAGAAACGCTTCAAGGAAGCTTTCTTAATCCCCGACCGCCCCTGTCTGGCCTCTCTACATAGCTCTAGCTTTGCTCCTGAATGAATCCACTACTCACAGAGCATACACGCTTTCCTATGATAACGAGAGAACAAACAGAAGTAGCTACACAACTACACACTCGCAGTTTTGTGGCTACCTCCTAGCAGATCCACTCCGGAGCGCGCACCCCTCCCTCCCTTGGGATCAGCCGTTGTCCGTTTCGGGTTTTTCTCCACCGTGATGGCTCCAAGTCACTTTGCCATCGACGCCGCCTCCTGCCTTCCTGCATGCCTCCTCCCTTAACTGCTCTTGACCCGCCCAGCTGTACCCTTCCAGCCTGCCTCTCTCGCCAACTGTCGTACCGCCATTCTGCTTCCCAACCTCGATCTGAACACCCATCACTGTACACCCCAATTATCACCATAACTATGTACACCCCTTTTTCTCCGACCCTTTTGCTTAAACCTTCCGAGTTGTCCCACGATTTTCATAACACATTTGTTATGTCAAATCGTGCGACAGCTGTCGCATTCCCTCTCCCCGATGGCCCACCTCTCCCCTCTAGCCGGGCTTCTCCTGCGCCTTCCCTTTTCTCCTCTGATATGTAATTGTGACTGATTTCCCCCGCTCTTGCCCCCTCGTGGCTGGTGTAGCGTCCCTGCCCACCTGCCGCGACCCTCCCGCGCGTG